GACATACTGCAAGGCTGCTCCAACGCACTGTAATTACAATAATTGGAACAGACTGGATTAATTGAGTCTGCTGGAGTATGGTAATTACTGCATTCCAGCCAGTCTCCATGTCTCATGTATCAGCATCCATGTGTTTCAAAATGGCACATAGGGCACTTTAAATAAAGCTTTTTGAATGAGCTTTAGTTAAAGTGCCCCCACTGCCATTTTGAAGCACAGGGATGCTGATACATGACATGCTGCAGCACTTTAATTAGAGCAGTTCCCAGAACTGCTCTAATTAAGACATCCCCCTCACCCTCCTAAGCATGTGTAAAAGCTCCCTAAAAAACCTGTGCTATTTAGTTAATGTGCATTAAGACAAGCTAATGTGAATTTTCCTAGTACCTCAGAATGGAGGGTGTTTATAGATGTGCTGTAGGAGGTGGGGAGGGGAGAGGGGAGCCACACAAATTGAAAGCATCTTAGCATCACGTGTATCAGTGTCCTCAAAATGAAAAATGGTGGCAGGGTACTTTGAACTAAAGCTCAAACAAGCTTTAGTTCAAAGCTCCCCACCACCATTTTTCAGTGTGAGGAAGCTGATAAATGTGATGCTGGAGGCTGCCGGAGCACATTTCCATGCTCCAGCAGACTCAATTAATTGAGTCTGCTCTGATGTGCTGGATTTACAGCACGTCAGAGCGGTCTCACTGCACATCTATAGGAGCTTAATGTACGTTAATTAAAGCATGTGAATGCACAAGTAGACATGCCCAGGTAGAACAGAGGGAACAGCAGTACAAGCTGCTCTATACCCTCCCGCTAGTGTAGCTCAGACTTACTTAGAAGAACTACTGAGGAGTTTGTCACTAGTTCTAGCGACTAACTGTAGAACAGTTTGGTTTATATAGCCATATAAATCATACTAAGACCCTCTCACTAAGGCTGCCAATAAGTTATAGTAATTGATCTTGTAATGCAAACATTTTTCCAATGGAAACTAGACTGACACAATCAGACTCATTTCCCATAGTTGGCACATGCCTCATAGCTGGCATTTTTTTCCACCTTCATAAGCAATCTGTGCTGTGTTGTCAACTATTTAGAATTATGAAGTCTTCTGTAATAACCCTGGCAATTCATTAATTTTCAGCTTTTCTGTCTTCCTTTTCTTCTACATTCCCTAAACAGGCATCACCACAGCACAAGTTGCTTGTAACCCTAATCTTTTGTTTTCTAGCTGTTTCTATCTTTACTCAATTGTATAGATACCTTACATACCGATTGTTCAATCCTTCATTCAGCAACAAGTGGAACAAATGTTCAGTGACAGCCTGTAGCACACTGATTTGGTAGTTCATAAAACAAATGGCTACTGTTACAAGCTTTGGAAAAATCAGCATTTTATATTTAAAACTATTTAGATTTACAATAATGTGATAGTTCACTCTGCAGCTAGGTTTCCAGAGATATGAGGCTTTGCTTGTAAAACAATGTCTCTATTTTAACCCTTGGAGTCCTATTTTAAAATCCTTCCTGACATCCTAAGAGCATAGGCAGTGGAAGGCCATAGCTAACAGGGCTTAGCCCCCGCAAATGTGGGGCAGCGGTGGCAGCACAGGCTCTGGGCCCAGGCTCCGGGCAGCTGCAGCAGGGCAGGAGGGGTGCGCACAGACACACAGCTGCAGCCTGCTGCAGGCAGCCAGGAACACAGCCCGGCCACATGTGGAGCAGTGCCCAGCAGGTAAGTGTGTGAAGAGAAAGGAGTTTAGGGGAGGGAAAAGGGTTGGGGAGGAAGCTTAAGGCCCCCACAGTGAGGGAGGGAGTGGGGCAGAGGCAGGTGCAGGGGCATAGGTGAATGGGGCCCTGGGGCAGGTCATAGGAGGGTTGGAGCCATTGGCGGCTCATCCAGGGATTCGGGGAGACTCCCACCACTGTGTGCACCCCAGAAAAGGCACGGGGGGCACATGCACCCTGGATTTGTTTGTGGGGTAGAGTGGAGGCAGGCTGTTGCTGCATGCTGGGCGCTGTGCCCCACTGCCATTGCCTCAGGAGCTACATGACGCCATGTGCCTCCCACCACTTGGCAGTCATAGGATGCAGTGACACCATGTGCATAGCCGGGTAGGCAGGGGAGGTGGCACAGACAGCCTGTGGCTCCCAGGGTAATGGAAGTGGGGCACAGAGCCCCAGCCCACAGCAGCAGCCCTCTACTACCCCTGCCCTCCGGCGTGTCCGGAGGGCAGGGAACAACTACAAGCAGACCTGGACAGGTTGGACATATGGGCAGAAAACAACAGAATGCAATTCAACAAGGAGAAATGCAAAGTGCTGCACCTAGGGAGGAAAAATGTCCAGCATACCTACCATGAGTCGTCAGTGTGACGAAGTCATC